TTTTTTTAAAATTTCCTCAAAAACACAAGAAATCTTAAACAAATTTTAGTATTTTTAATAATAAACTACAAAGATCTCATTGAATAAAGAATTTTTATATAGAATTTGATCTATCGGAAATTATCAATAATTATCGATAACTGGCTATCAAATTATCTGTAACTATCGATAGTTTCGATTATCGATATTACTCTACCTCTAACATCTACGTATTTATGAGTATAATAATAAAATGATTAATATCGAATTACGATAAAAGTTATGTGATTCTATTGTTTATTAATTTTTTTATAAAGACAGAATGTAAGATTAGACCTTACCTCTTCATTAATGAAAATTTCGCAAAATGTTTAATAAATTAGAAACAAAGTTTACATTACACAAAATTTATTGCAATTATTCTTTTACTTTACACCGATATACGAGAATTGAATAGATGAAATTTCTGCTCACTTTCGTTATGCACTAAAGCTAAAATACTTTTATAATCATTTTTCATAATTTCCTATAATATAGCCTTCCTTTTTACGAAACTTCGCAGTTTCATCGTAATATCGATTAAAAGCTTCTTCTCATTATTCAACTTCCACATGGAATTTTTAGTAGTCAGTGATAAATTGACAGAACATGCAAGAAGAAACTAAACACTTACGACGTTGTTGACAAGTTGATGTTTGTCTTATTTCCTGGCGTAATCCCCGCCAAAGTTTTGCCGCGATTAAGTAATAAGCTAGGCTCATCACAATTAATGGAATTAAAAGCAACGTTCCATCCAAAAAGAGATTGTAACCTCGTTCGGTACCGACACTTGGCCATTCTTCTCGACACTTGCGTCTTCCTGTAACAACAAACGCAAAATATTTTACAAATTTTTGCAGTGAGACTTGTTATGCATGAATATATTTTAATGTCGTATTAGATGACTTATATTAAGAAATTGGTCGAGACTCTTTATCTTGGGTCGTCCTTCTACGACCTCCAGCATCTGCTCACCTTGAAGGCTTGCGTGGTGGTGTCAACAGAAAGGACTAGGCCCAAGGGTGGTTGTACTTTAGTCACGAATTATTCGTGTGCCCGGTTTACGACACGTCTATTGCTATTGAGAATAAAGACAAAACACTATACTGTATAGTGATACATGTGGCATAAATACAAATTTCTGCGTACATAAAGCAATTTCTAGATCTTGCCTTCTGGTTCTAACGGTTTTAACGAAATCATAAAAAGTTAATTAATTTTCTCAAAAATAGCTTGACTAGGCGACCGTGTCATAAACCCAATCACCTCAACAAAGATTGTTCCTGTGTTGTGATTTTTGTGCCTGATTAGATCATAAGAGAAAATAATTTTATTATCTACTTGCCTTTTTAATTTTATAAAATGAAGGTAAATTGGAATATCGCTATTCCAAATTACCTGCACCGTAACAAAATGCACCGTAACATTACTTTATGTCATTTTTCAATTAGACCAAAGTTTCAGATACTTCTTGTTTTTCATTATTACTGAGAGTTCAAAATATAAAAGATTATTTATTGACCCATGATATTATGCAGTTTTATCTGTTCTCATCATCTGCCGTAATTTGTTATTCATCTTAAACAAAGTTGCGCTTCCTCTACTTCTCTTACAATTCAAAGAAAGCGTACAGATCGTGGTCGTAAAACGAGAGTCTGTTTAACGAATATTAAAAAAAATTCTTCGAATCAAGTTAGTATTTGAATATATTTTTGATGTACCTGTTAAAAAAGAAAGCTAATTGGTAAGCAGTGAACTGAAACATGAACTGGCGAATAAATAAGACACTTCCTTTAGATACGCCATTATCAGAGTGTCTCCTGAATTCTGGTGAACTGAGTTACAATGCTTGAAAAACGTTGGAATACTCTCCCTATAAAAATACGGCTTACACTCGTAAGCCTCAATAATAATAATAATAATAATTGTGCTCCGGACCGTGATAGACTTAAATCTTTGTATTGGAAGAATTTCAATTATAAAATAAATTTTAATAAAATGCTAGTGACTTATGTATGTCAGTAATTTCTTCTTCTACTTGAAGTAAAATATGTAACGACATAACATTTTTAATTTTAACATTTGCTTGTTTTAAAGTGAAATAAAAAGTAGTTTACTGTTATATTGTAAATATTTACTTTTATATTTTGCATAATAAACTCTTACATCTTTTACAAATATGTATTTCCAATTACATACATATTTAACCCATATTTGTATAACCTACAGCCTTAGCCAAAAGTATTAAGCGCCTCATAAAATATGAATTATTTAATAATATTATTGTATTATGAGGAAATCAAGCTATTGAAATGTGAAAAAAAATCACTTTTTATTCATTTTGTCAAACACAGTAATTTCTTTCTGACTTTTACCCTGGTTTTTGAAAGAAAGAATTAATTTGCGTCGATGGTCACTCACTTCACACTCTTTTGGCATAATTCAAGGAAAATTGTTCGACTTTGAAAATATTAACAGCAAAAATAAAGACAAGTTGACGTGTGTTAGCAACAAATACCAACAGCAGACTGTGAGTTTAAGAAGAAACGCAAAATGTAGACTAAGGATCGCTCAGTTGTTTTATTACCCACTACAAACCTTGTCAACTGTTTTGGCAGCATTGGCAAAAGCAACATAGTTTGGATATGAGGCGTTGCTGTCTTTATTATAACAAAGTAGACCATAGAGTTTTAGTCTTCACTGAAAAATCCGATTGACGTAAGTGTATCATTTTTAAAAATTCTTTTCCAATTTCTTGTGCACGATTTGCCACTCTCTGAGCCATATTGTGTAAATTCATGAAACCAACGCCATTCTCAGTCTCTATTCTTAAAGTTCCTACTCTGATTGCTTCATTTTCTGTGCATGAATATATTTTAATGTCGTATTAGATGACTTATATTAAGAAATTGGTCGAGACTCTTTATCTTGGGTCGTCCTTCTACGACCTCCAGCATCTGCTCACCTTGAAGGCTTGCGTGGTGGTGTCAACAGAAAGGACTAGGCCCAAGGGTGGTTGTACTTTAGTCACGAATTATTCGTGTGCCCGGTTTACGACACGTCTATTGCTATTGAGAATAAAGACAAAACACTATACTGTATAGTGATACATGTGGCATAAATACAAATTTCTGCGTACATAAAGCAATTTCTAGATCTTGCCTTCTGGTTCTAACGGTTTTAACGAAATCATAAAAAGTTAATTAATTTTCTCAAAAATAGCTTGACTAGGCGACCGTGTCATAAACCCAATCACCTCAACAAAGATTGTTCCTGTGTTGTGATTTTTGTGCCTGATTAGATCATAAGAGAAAATAATTTTATTATCTACTTGCCTTTTTAATTTTATAAAATGAAGGTAAATTGGAATATCGCTATTCCAAATTACCTGCACCGTAACAAAATGCACCGTAACATTACTTTATGTCATTTTTCAATTAGACCAAAGTTTCAGATACTTCTTGTTTTTCATTATTACTGAGAGTTCAAAATATAAAAGATTATTTATTGACCCATGATATTATGCAGTTTTATCTGTTCTCATCATCTGCCGTAATTTGTTATTCATCTTAAACAAAGTTGCGCTTCCTCTACTTCTCTTACAATTCAAAGAAAGCGTACAGATCGTGGTCGTAAAACGAGAGTCTGTTTAACGAATATTAAAAAAAATTCTTCGAATCAAGTTAGTATTTGAATATATTTTTGATGTACCTGTTAAAAAAGAAAGCTAATTGGTAAGCAGTGAACTGAAACATGAACTGGCGAATAAATAAGACACTTCCTTTAGATACGCCATTATCAGAGTGTCTCCTGAATTCTGGTGAACTGAGTTACAATGCTTGAAAAACGTTGGAATACTCTCCCTATATAAACACGGCTTACACTCGTAAGCCTCAATAATAATAATAATAATAATTGTGCTCCGGACCGTGATAGACTTAAATCTTTGTATTGGAAGAATTTCAATTATAAAATAAATTTTAATAAAATGCTAGTGACTTATGTATGTCAGTAATTTCTTCTTCTACTTGAAGTAAAATATGTAACGACATAACATTTTTAATTTTAACATTTGCTTGTTTTAAAGTGAAATAAAAAGTAGTTTACTGTTATATTGTAAATATTTACTTTTATATTTTGCATAATAAACTCTTACATCTTTTACAAATATGTATTTCCAATTACATACATATTTAACCCATATTTGTATAACCTACAGCCTTAGCCAAAAGTATTAAGCGCCTCATAAAATATGAATTATTTAATAATATTATTGTATTATGAGGAAATCAAGCTATTGAAATGTGAAAAAAAATCACTTTTTATTCATTTTGTCAAACACAGTAATTTCTTTCTGACTTTTACCCTGGTTTTTGAAAGAAAGAATTAATTTGCGTCGATGGTCACTCACTTCACACTCTTTTGGCATAATTCAAGGAAAATTGTTCGACTTTGAAAATATTAACAGCAAAAATAAAGACAAGTTGACGTGTGTTAGCAACAAATACCAACAGCAGACTGTGAGTTTAAGAAGAAACGCAAAATGTAGACTAAGGATCGCTCAGTTGTTTTATTACCCACTACAAACCTTGTCAACTGTTTTGGCAGCATTGGCAAAAGCAACATAGTTTGGATATGAGGCGTTGCTGTCTTTATTATAACAAAGTAGACCATAGAGTTTTAGTCTTCACTGAAAAATCCGATTGACGTAAGTGTATCATTTTTAAAAATTCTTTTCCAATTTCTTGTGCACGATTTGCCACTCTCTGAGCCATATTGTGTAAATTCATGAAACCAACGCCATTCTCAGTCTCTATTCTTAAAGTTCCTACTCTGATTGCTTCATTTTCTGGATTTTCAGCATTAAACGCTCTTGGAGACGAGTAAAAGTTTCTCGAAGTAGAGTTTCTTTCTTAAAAAATTATCCAAATACTTACACGCCGAAGTAACAGTTTCAACTTTTCGTAGACTTAGGACTATAGATTCTAAGAAGACACTAAATCTAACTGAGAGAATACTAAATATGTTTTCTATTATTCTACCTGCTTTGCATAATCTATATTTATAAATTCGCTCGGGACGAGATTTTTAACGATGCCCAGTAAACGCTTCCATTATGTTTGCCAATAAAGAGAAAGCATCGTCGGTGACTAATATAAATGGGGTGGCAGAGATTCTGGTCAAGATATAACAAAAATAGTTATATTAGTAACAAAAATTAATTCTAATCCTAACTTTTGTTTTAATTCGTAACACTGAATAACAGATTACTTTTTGTTACCTGATACAGTACTAAAACAGTAAATGGCTGACGGTTAAATGCATAGTTCGAAAAAAATCACAGCTTAAGGGGTTAAATATACAGTGTCGACGAAAATCGGTGTCAATAAAACACTACCGATGGAAACATTATCTACGAAATTATCGATGATTTCAGGGCAGCCCGCTTCCAACTGCATGATGTTTTATACACCGTGGACTGTAAATCATGGTAGATATAAGTAGAATGAGAGACATTCTATAGTTCGAAGTAAGTCGTAATAATAGAATACCATTTTGTCATACGTAGCTTCATAAGTCAGAAAAATGAATTTGAAAATCGGTGTGAAATATAAATTGCAATACATTACTGTCAATTCAACTATTTTTACTTCTTTCGTTACGTGTTTACACTTACGTTAAACGTAGAAAGTTCCATTTTCTAAATTTTTATAAAAATTAAAACTTATTTTTTAAAAATCCAATAACAGTACACAGAAACAAAATAAAATATTTACTATATTTCGACTATAGGTGTAAAACGTTAATAAATAAAGTGGAGAGCAACAGACAATACTTTTTTTAATTCATTCTGCACGACGAATATGTGTAATATTTTACGGAAAATGAGTGACGAATAAATTCTGTGTACCTCACAGGAATTAAAAAAAATTAAATTAAATTAAATTGCTCTCGTTACGATAATTAATAAAATGAAGACACAACTTAGACTTGGATGAACAATTTAAGTATATTTTATGTATAAGTTTGAGCACTATTCTTTTGTATTACTTTACTATTCATTTTCTATAAGTAGATTAAATTTTAGAAATGTTTTATTCTTCTTAAGTAGAAACTGCTCTTATTCTGTTAAAGGATTAAATATAATTTTATGAAATGCACAATACGGATAAAATGAACATTTCAATTAAACCTTTGATAGATGTAAAATCTACAGTTTCTCTGAATGTCAACCAATTCTCAGTTTTATCCCTACAATTATAATATACAATAAGCACATCTAATAACTTCACTGAATGTCTAACTTTGTTTCGGTATGATTAAATAATCTGGAGATAATGTCGCGAAATCCAGTTACACGTATAATATGCTCTAAAAGAGATAAGAGCTGAGGGACTATTCTCAATGTTTCAAATGCTTCGCGTATTTGCAAACATATATTTCCTACATGCATGGATTATGCTTACAAGCAAAGGCCATTTTTGATAAAGGTAACATGTTTATGTTGAAACGATACTGTAGTGCATGTAGAATGTAGCAATTGCTATATTGAGAAACATTGAAAAATATGTAATAGTTGTGCACTAAATAAAGTAAAATACGAAATCTAAAAATTTGAATCAGTAATGATACCTTTATTAGTTGTATTTCGAGTTATAAAATAAATTAAATTGAAAATATATATTTAAAATACATAAGAAGTTGTAATAATACATACCTACCTAATTGCTTGAATATTGTAGCGAAGCAACTTTCTTAAGAACTTGAAATTAAACTAAGTTTTTAATATACAAAAATGAATGGACAAAGCGCAAATGTTTGGATGCAGGTTGATTTTCTTAAAAATATACCTGTTCTGTCCGATACATTTTTAAATAGCACTTCATAAACCTAACTACTCAAAAAATTTTCATTTTCCAATTAATTTTATCTTACTATCTTTTCCCTGAACACATGTTCTACCAAGATTTCTGTGTTCATGTTTGCGCACGGTAACTGAAAACCAAAATGGTCTGCCCGAATTCCCTTGGCTTATTAATCAGTAACTAATTTTCGACTAGTGACGCGCGAATAGGCGCGTATACCAATAGGAATTCGCTCATTTTTGCACCTCTCATTTTCTTCAGTTTCTTCAGCACCATTCTAGCACTACCGTTCTTATACTACCGTATGACCGGTTGGTTATGGAAAAAGGAAATAAGTAGAGAGGGGATAAGCGAAAAAGAGTACCTAAGAGACCCGTACTTTGAAACCATTTAAATTGCAGATAAAAAATCTCACGCTTTGAAACCATCTAAATTACGTATAAAAAATTTTCTCCTACCATAGTAGATAGAGAAGATAATTAGGTGATCTGCTTTACATGGTCCACCCTATACAGTAATAGAAGACCTGACTAGTGAGAAAGTTTAATGTTAGCCTGTCTCTCTGGTGGTGAAGCGTGGAAGGTACCGCCACAACCGATTACCGAAATAGTAATTTTGCACAGATTCTGAAGGCGATCCACTTTGTAACATACCACGAAACGACGCAACGTGTTTGCATAGCTGTACGACAATTTATAAATATACTAATTCGCAGGGATATGCGGTACTCGATTGACACAAGTGATTCTTCTCGGTAACGAAAGAAATAAGAGCTATAGTGTATACGACATTTTTTGTTCAGATCGACCTACTAATCACATGGGCGAAGTTTGTTGAATTTCTCACGGGACACTCTGTATATTTTACATCAGAGCTAATAGAGAATTCTTGTAATAAGGCATCTATCAAGCACATTAAACTCACACATTACATAGTACTTGTTAAAGTATAGTAAATTAAACACTTCATTACACTACCTACAATCATAATTAGCCCTCACGTTATTAAGTTATCGTGAGCATATCGAAATTTTGTAATACCGTTCGATACAAAGCAACGTGTCACAAGTTGTTTAGATAAGAACTAAGCTACAATAGGACCTGACTTTTATATTTACGTTCATTTTGTGTTGGTAAATGAATTTATATTTATTTGTTATTCAGTGGAATCCGCTTATTATGATCACTTTGGGTCTTGTAATTTTTGATAAGAATAACCGACTGATAACATTAACCTTTGCGGACGGTGAATTATGTGCCATGTTGAAATACTGATTACTTGTATAACACATGATTCTTTTCTTTTTTTTTTTTTCAATGTAAATTTTTCGAATTCATAATCATTCAACTGTTTTTATTGCTTAGAGGTACGAGTTTATTGCTAGCGTTTATAGTGTTTGGTGAATGCATATATGAGTCTATCGTCCTCAAAGGGTTAAACAGAGAATAAAAACATTTCATTATTGAACTTAAATTATTAAAAACAATTATACGATTTGTACAATTTATATTTATCACAAACTGTACACTTAATATAACATTACATATTTATGCTACCTTTCTTATAAATAACTATTTTTGAAAACCACATAAAATATATTTGAAAGACTTATCAAGTGTTATCTGTCGTATTTACGTATTTCCTATGAATTCTTGCCATGCACTCATGTAAAAGATAAAATGTATGCTTCGGTTAGAAGGAAGTTTTGAAAAAAAGGCCCATTTAGTACGAAATCGCTAAAAATTCTTATCGTTTGTTCCCAAGTGTAATTATCACAATTGATACCAGTAGCCGAAGTTTGATTACAATAGACGGATTATTTTTAACTAATTTTATATAGTGTTTTGGAACCAACTGTTTATGATAACAATAGCCAATTGATAACATTATTCCTGATTAAATCGGATCCTACTGTATAACCAGACTTCACGTATTGGACGGTCAAGGCCACTTTTCTGCTGGCGCTTTTAAGCATTTACAAGCCCTACCAAACAAGGCTGCAGTGGTTTGGCAACTGACACAATAGATTTATAGGTGGACACTTCTGAATCTTCGGGAGAATCAACTGCTGTAATGTAATCTTTGTCCTTTTTGCTTGTGGCAATACGATTTTTTCCCCTTTTCTTTTATGACGCTACAAATATTTCAGACAGTGCGATAAAAGATAATTTGTGTGTGCTGCCGTAGTACAATGGACGTAGTTTAAGGCGGAACGTTAAAAGATTGTAGGCGACAACTGCAAGCCTTCGAAGGCGTAATGGGCTTACCCCTCAAAGTCCTTGACCGGCCAATATATTTCGGCAGATTATACAAGGACAGCGTATTGCATAAACGAAAAGGATAAAGATCACGCTGCTGTAATCGATTCACCTCAAAGGTTTAGGAGTGCCCACATATAAGTCTATTGTGTCAGAGGCCAATAGAGAATAAATTTCATTAGTATTATTTAATTACAGCGATCAACTATTAAACGCTAAATAAAAATTGCCGAATAAGTTTGGTAACAGTGCCCCTAAACCAAATGAAACGTATGATGCGTCAATTGAAAAAGCTTCCTAGGAAAACCATTTCGACAAAGTTTCAGCTCTTTACTCCTATCATTAGGGTAGTTAACGACCTAAATATGATTTTCAGTTTACGCTCGTTTCTGTTTTTCGTTCTACCGTATGGAAAATTATGAAAAAAATCTGAGATACTATAGTCAGTGTTACATATCTGAGAATTTTTTCAGATTTTTTGACTGAGAAACCTCTTTTTATTTCAAATTTAGTACTTTAAAGATCGACCGAGCAAAGATGAAGCTTCTCACTTGCCCCTCCCGGCAAACAGGCTATAAGAAGGCAGATATTTCATTCCCACTATTCTGCAGCTCTATACTGCTTTTGCTTGAGGGGAAGTTCTGGTGTAAGTAGACAACCGATGTTCAATAAGTCGTCAATAATGTAGCGCGTTGATAAGCAAACAGGAGAGTTCAAAAATTATTTGGTTGCCTTATCTGCCTATTTGTGTCAGCGTGCGAGAATTACATTCTTCATTACCTAGGATGTTAATTTTGAAACCTCGGGAAATGTGTTAATATCTTTCAAGATTTAAAGAAGTGAAAACCGCAACACTTTTTGTTATTCTTGAATAATAAAAATAGCTTCCTGCGCTTTGAAAAATTATTTATATAGCTCACAAATTTCTAACTGAAATGAGAAGAAGTATGCCACCACCGTTTCCACGCCTCGAAAATCGGCACGTCGCTTATTTGTTATCGATTTCTCACGATCTAGCCTCGATCGTCGCCTATTGTTGTTCATGAAAGTGTAAATGCGATCGCCATATTCTATCGCTATTGGCTGATTAACAGCAAAAACGTCACAATTTCTCTTCCGTTTTTCACTTTCAGACGTTAAGTCCCGCCTGAAGCCTCATTTTTTCTTGGTCGAGCTTCATAGTGCAAAAGAAATGCACTTATACTTCAAGAGGGAAATACATATTTAATTCCGAAAATAACTACACGATTGTAACAAATTCAAAATTTTCGTAGGTTTGGAAAAATAATTGTTGCATCCAAGTTACCGTAATTCTATTTGAATTTTCGCGTCACTTGAGGCGCTAAACTATAGGATCGGTTACCGATAGTCTGTTTGAAATATTGTGATTTTATCTTAATGCGTACAGTCAGACTGTGTTTTTCGTGATTTTCATTGTCGCGTGCAATGTTCCGTGTTGATATTCGTTGCAAAATGTTTGGTGTGCTATGAAATATGAAGTATGATATATTTCATACAATATGAAAATGCCTTGAAAAATATGAAATAAAAAATACACAACTTGATTAAAAAGAGATTAAAAAATAATCCAACCTCCTCGTATATTCTGTAGTCGCGAAACGACGAGGATTGGTGCATTCCACGTAAGACTAGCTATCCAGATGACAGCGATCATTTTGTAAGCGTGAAATTGCGTCTGCCACCTTCTCGACTTTAACGGTCTGCAAATGGCGAAGTAACGCTCCAAGGAAATGGCGACTAATGTCCAGACTCCAACAGACACGGATACAGCTGAAATGAAATATTAAATTAATGTTTATATGATTGTTTGTTATTATGCATTTACTTACATTGGTACATGTATCGATGAAATTATGTCACAAAAAAGGAAAAACATCCCTTACTAATAGTGTGTAGTAAGAGAAATCTCTAAAAAACATTCTAACCTCAAAAATATTACTCATATTCAAACTATTGATTGTTGCCTTATAAACAAAGAGTTGAATTTTTCTTCAAATCATCGTCAAATGTTATACTTTGTGAAAGCTGAGTGATGTAACCTTTGTATAGTCCGTGGAAGAGATACAACGAGGTCGTAAATTAAAGAATTAAGTAGCGGCACCGATTGATGCAGTGACACCCACGATCAGCATTCAGCATTTTACGTTTCTAATTGAGACTGAATGAAAGCTAAAGCGTACTTCTGTAAAATTGAGATTTCGAGCCCTTATATTCTCAGGCTTTTGTCGATTTTCTTGTCGGTATGCTTGAACATGTAAATTTTGACGCCTGACTGATTTTACGACCGCTCAATACTTCTTCCCCGGACTATAACTAGTTCGAAAAATTCTTTTACTATTAAAATCATTGTAAAATTTGAATTAAAGGAAAATTTTTAGATATTACCGTAGATATTATTACAAAATGAATTAATACTTTTATTAATATATTCTCCTATTGACTCTAAACATTTATCGAGTATTACACTAAATAATTAAAGTATGAAATTTTTCGGTTCTCAGATTCGCACACGTTGCCAGTGTGCCAAATTCAATATGAAATACGAATTTCATGTGATTCAAATATTCGATGTAAGTTCGACGTTTCTCAAGAGCCTTTCAATTTTTCTTCAAATTCGTTTAAATGGCTCAAGTAGTATCTCTGCGATTATTGCACTATACATAACTGCTCTGTACTTCTATTCTACTTATACAGTGTGTCTTTTTTAGCTAGACACGGTGAAATATCTCAGTAGGAACTGAAGCTATTGAAAAAGTGGTTTTACAAATGTTGTTTGGTATGATGCAGTACATAACGTAGTATAGTCTGTAACGGATGTATTCACGCTTATTTTTTTAAATGAAACGCTATATTATTTTATTCTTAATATTATAGCGTTTGTTGAGACGAATTTAACGAGGTGCCACATTAAGTCACGTCGTTTTATAGAAAGTTATAAAATCGTGAAGAATTTGTATCAGTAACACAGTCAATAGAGGTGTGCGAGAACCCGATGTTGGGGACGGATCGGGAAGGGATCTGGTCGAGTCGGGTCGGATTCCTGAAAGTACCGGGATTCTCGAAAATGTCGAGAATACCAAAAATTCCGAGAACCCGTTTACCGTTTCGAGACTTGCTTTAATAAACACGACCGCGGTTTCAATTTTTCGTACACAATGTTTACGCAGTCGTTTTATTTATATCAAATCGCACGAATCCTAGTGTCCGTGTTATTAATGTTGGCAGTGGGTGTGAGTTTTATTATATTTGCTTTTTCAGTACATACACAAAACGAAACATACAAAAGAAAAGAATAAACAATTGTCCCTCTACATCCAGCATCGTATCATGTTACCAGTGCGCCTTCCTTCCAAAACATCGTTACTTCTCCAACACTGACACACAGACATCATACATTCCATAAATCGTAACAAAAAGTGCAGAAACATTGTCCTAATAATATGAATCCCGACACTTTCGAAAATCCAGTCTCTTCCGGGAATCGAGGACATTCTCGAGAATCCCGGCACTATCGGGAATCTCGAAATTTTCAGGAACTCGTCCCAATCCCGGAAAAATTCCCATCTCGACACGACCTGATATTTTCGGGTTCTCGCACACCTTTAACAGTCAAGTAGGATTTAGCTGACGGAAGGAGTATGATACGTGCTGACCTAACTACCAGATTCTTCGCTATTTCACAATTATTCATAAAACGAAATGACTTCTTGTCGAATATCGTTAAATTCGTCTCAACAAACACATCAGATTACAAAATATATATTAATACCACATTATATCCTACATCAAACCAAGAAACTTTTGTAAGAACATTTTTTCGATAGCTTCATTTCCTTCTGAGATATCCCACCGTGTCCAGTTAAAACAGACACCCTGTATATGTAAGCTTCTCGAAATTTCGAGACGGTTCTTTAGAGCGCCATCTGTTACACACTTGTCGCCGCAGTGCGAGCGTTAAATCTGGAACCTCCGAATGCCGCCTCTAATTTCATTATTACCCACAATTTCTTCAATATAATTGTTTAATATGCAATATTACGTGGACAGTTTAAATTTACAATTATTCAATGAGTTGCTCTCGAACAGCCGAATCGATCGGACGTGTTTTCCACTGCTTGCGTATCCTATTCCACATATTATATCGTACTGATTTGTTTTTCGAATAATACATGTAATATCCATTACGAACATAATGTGAATCGTAGTGTATGTAAAAACAGTGAAACCTGGAATAGAGAAGTTATGCATCGATATAAATGGAAATACATACTCAATTCTCCAACCAAGTATCTGACAAAATTCCATGCATTAGTTGTAATAAACAATTCCATTCCTAATAAGGAACAAAGAATTATAATCGACGCTATCGAAGATAAATACATCCCTTAACACGTTCGCTGCCACCAATTTCCATGATAGAACGGTGTTATTTACAGGTAATACAGCATAAAAAATGCACAGTTTGAGTATTTAATAAATATCAGGTGTGTATAAGTGCAGGCATCTATCGTATTATGTAAAATTGAAAAAAAAAATATAGATACTAAGAATGTAAGTGAAAATAATTCGAAGGATAGTGGGCGATGCTTCAACAAAACCGTGAAGGCGAACGTGTTAACCCTTTCATTACTATTGGCGTCTATAGGCGTTTTAAAAATTTGTTCGCACTATACTGTTGAAGCTTTTTGACGTACTTGAACCTTAACTTAATTCTTAATTTTATCCTTTACGCATTTCTACCTTATTTTAACGAAACGAATTTGAAAACGATACGGCTAAAATAAGAAATTTTGCAGCGGTGGTTAAAAATTTACCGTTAATCACCCACGTTACGCATTAAAATCTGCCGTAGCGAAAGGGATAAAAGAATATGCATATGCTATAGCAAAAATAACTGGATTTAATGCTATTTGTTTTGCCTCCCAAATATTCAATGATAAAATTTGAATAGGTATATCTAAACAGTAAAGAAACAGCCAAAAGTTTTGTAACCAAACATAAAACAATATTCGGCGTTAATGCTAGTCCTGCAGTTACATCTCGATTCAATTCATCCCAAAGGACGAAACTGCGATCACTTTTCAAAAATTCAAAAATATGCTTACCTCTTGTAAACTTAATAGAAATGATATGTTTTCTACTGAGAGAAAATAAATTTTTAAATATATTTTTTCGTTTGCAAGTTTAATACAAACGACGTGTTTTCTGTCGAGAGAAACAGAATTTTACGTGGACACCGTATGCTGAGTATTCAAAACTTTATCGTGCCACTCCAAATTCATACGTATCTTTAGAATATACGTAAATACGTTATATTACCTATTTGCAATACATGAATTTGAATACTTGTAATAGAACATTTGGTATTTGAAAAATTTTTAAATTGAGAAGCGTGTCTTAAAATTAACATCTTAACAATTCTTGAACAAAGTTAAAAGTTCGATAGAAAAGTAAAAATATCCAACATAAAGTAAAAAAATGTTAAATCTTCTTCTTACGTTTGCAAAAATAAAGTAAATCTTCTACATTTCCAAACACACATATTGATCTTTTGAATTACGCAACTAAAATGTGAAATACAAGCAATCAAAAAGGTCTGCTTCCACCTCGTTAGAATTTATTTATTAAAATTTACGTGATTTCATTTAGAAACATAACATTCACTGTTGGTATATATTTTTTTAATATTTAGAATTTAGAATTAAATTAAGGAGAAAGAATGACGTAACAGAAACAGGTAAAAAAAATTTACAGTACCTTAGAATTCAGCAAAATGTCTAGAAACAAGACTCCAAAGACGAATACAAATTAGTTTCTTATTTACAAGCGAGTAGAAAAGACGTTACACAAAATATTTCTTCCATAATGGAAACTATCTGCTTATATTTATTTGTTTCATTTTTAATAAATAAATGTAAATTATTTTTCTTTGTACTAATATTAAGTTCCTAAATAAAATCACGTGAATATTATTTATTCACTACTTTCTCTGTTAAAATTGTATTATACAATGCAAAATAAAGTCTAACAAAGTGTACAAAGTGTACTTTTTTGACCGAGTGTATCGAAAACTCGAAAGGAAGTCATTTTGACACATGTTATGTGCGTGATAGAAACAGCGAAATAGTAATATCGAATTGGAAAACAGCAGCAAAAGTTACGCGAGAGGCCAGTACATTACACTCCGTCGATATTTCCATTGGAACTTCAATAATTCTATTAAAACTTTTCTAATGGAAATTTAATCTGAAAATATTTGAATTCGAAAACAATGTCCATATTGAACAATTCAAACACGTTATACTTGCAGTGAGTAGAACAATGACAGATAACGCTACAATTACGAAACATCGTTTTTTATTTCACTATAACGAAATTTTCCGAACTTTTTGCCCCCCACTCCCCGATTCTGAACCAGATAAATAAATCTTTGCGGATAAAACCGTATGCTCTGGCAAATATTCTGGTGTTGAGTTTTTTACAGTTTGAGAGATTTGCGCTTCATTGCACCGTTGCTTTAAGTTCTCGATCGTAAACATCAAACGGTGGAACGGTGGAGTTAGTTCCTCTTGAAATTAACGTTATTACACGGAAAATAGGATTTTACAAGTTCCCTTCGAGGATTTCTAATAACGAAGAGAGCAAGTAAATACTTTATTACTTAACGACACTCGGTTTGTTTTTCAGAGAAATAATCCAATCATTATGGTTCAGCAAATTTATAAATAATTAATAATCAACTAGAATAAATTAGTTGTGATTCATGAATA